GTGAGAGCCACAAAGATCAGCTTTCTCCCGGGAAGCTTCTCACCCACATCCTCTGCCTTTGTCTTCACAGAATTCTTTTGGGATCGATTTAGATAAAGACCCCAGAGAGGTAAGGAGCTTTGGTTTCTTGATTAAAGGTTTTGAGTCTTAACATCTTTAAGCTCCAGTTGACTCTGAATGAAACAATTCTCCCTTGTGGAACCCCCATAACTCTTCGTGTGTATGGTGCTGAGGCCCAGAGAGGGGCAGTGACTTGCCTGGGGTAACACAGCCAGGGGACCAGACGCAGGACTGGAACCCGATCCCCGGACTCACGGTCCAGTGCTCCCAGGCATCAAATATGAGACTCCCAGGTTCACCCACCCCCATTCTTATTCACGTTTCCTCTGCCCAACACGGCCCTGAGGGAGGAGGCAGGATCGGAGCCTCCACTGCGAGGAGGCAGAGGTCACAGGAGCCTTCCCTGAGGGGTACAGATCCCCTGGGAGGCCACAGGTTCATCTCTACAGGGGGAGCCTGGAACCTCGGGCCTGAGGACCCCCCTCCTCCCAGCACACAGGACACGCCAATAGTGTCCCCCCAACAGGTTGCCAGGGTCTGGTGACGTCCCCTGTGCAGCATCTTACAGTCCCGCCCTCTCTGCTCCCCCTGGAGACGACAGCACTTTCCCTGAACAGGTCTCGGGAGGACGGAGTGAGAGTCCCGCAGCCATTCCGCTCAGGCTTCGTAAGCACTGCCCACGAGCCAGGCCCCGACTCGGGAGCTGGGGACGCGGCCGTGAAACACCCGAGATTCCGCCCCTTGGGGTCTCCGTTCCAGTGGGGGGTGCAGTGAAGACCAAACCAACACGCAGTGTGTGGACGACGGGCGGTGTTAAGGGATGGGGGTCACCAGTGGTGTGAACTCGCGTAGCAGCGTCAGGGAAGGGGACTGAGAAGTGGCATCTGAGCCAGGCTCCGGAGGAGGGGAGGCAGCTGTCAGGAAGACTGGAGGAGCCGTCCGGGCAGAGGGGCGGCTGCCGCGCTGGTCCTCGCTGAGGCAGGAGGCTGGTCTGCAGGGCTGGAGAGGAAGGAGTCAGACAGACGGGCTGGAGAGTAAAGAGGTCGTGGGAGGGGGGAGGCGGGGTGGTCACTTGAGGGACTGGGACTGTGATTTGGAGTGAGAGGGGAGGCTTCGGAGGGTTTAGAACAGAGAAGAGACGTGATGTTGGATTGTACGAAGGTCTCTGTCTGCTGCGTTGAAAATAGACGGTCAGGAAGGGGCCTGGAAGGTGCGGAGAGACCAGCTGGGAGGCCGCGGTGCTGGAATCTTCCAGGCCGGGGGTCCTGGCGGCTGAGACGAGGCCGCAGCAGTGGGGGGTGGGGAGTGGCTGATAGGACGTGCTGACGGACAGCACGTGAGGGGCGAGAAAGACGGGAGTGAAGGATGCCCCGAGCTTCCTACCCGAGCAAGCTCATGCACATGGCCCACACAGGGCCGCCATGTGCAGCCACTGAGTACACAGTGGCAATTACTGTCACTGTCACTGCTGCTGATGCCAGCCTCCCCCCCATAGATGCCACCCCTTTGGGCCCTTGTCGTCTCCTCCTGCCCTTCTGCAATCTTCTACCTGCACTTTCCTCACCTGTGAATCCCTTTAGTTGCCCAGAGCCCACGGCAGGTGGTGAGCTCCTCCCCCAGGTGGCCTGTCCTGTTCCAGGCCTCCCATGGCAGGGAACTGCAGGACCTCTCAGGGCAGCCGTAGTCACACCCGATCCTGT